TGAGTATTGTGGGGTCAAATTGTTCTACTTCTATCTAATACTAGGGTATTCTCTCCTATAATATCCTACCTAAATAATAGGTGTATAGTATTTTCTAGCGAGCTTTTCTACTAGGCTATTTAGGCTAGATTAGGGGTATAGGAACTTTATAGAGTATGTATACATACAAGTTAGAATATGTTTATAACATGTTAATAACTATTTTAGCGTTGCTTCTCTAATAGAGGCAATCTTATCTACTACCTTAAGAGGTATTATCCTAAGGTTTAAATAGCCCTAGTAAACTATAGCAGAATCACAATATAAGGTATTATAGAAGCAAGGATCTTCTATAGGAGCTTAATAGTAAATACTTAAGAACGTGTTCTAAACATATTAATAATACGTTCTCTACTAGTAGAGTAGACTACACTAAGTGCCTCCTCTAAGGTTTAAGAACCCTCTAAGATAGCTAGTCTATAATAAGAAGTAGTAGCTAGAGTAGAGGCTAAAGAGGAAGTAGAGAGTAAAGAAGAGAAGCAAATAGTTACTCCCCTTTACACTATAAATAATATTTAGCAAAAGTAGCAAAAAGGAGATATAAGTCTAGTCTCTTAAAATATATTTAGAATATATTAATAATATATTATAGCTAGACACCTATAAATACTAGATTCTTCTTTAATCTAAGGGACTACTAGAGCTTTATAATACCTATAAAAGTAAAAAGAAAAAGTTATATACTATTAAAGGACCCTATAAAAGTAAATAGTACTTTACTTTTAGTAGATAGAAAAAAAAAGAGAAAAGTAGAGAGTTTATTTTAGTAATTACTACTACCCCTTTAGGTTATATACTATTATATATTATTTATTAGAACCTGTTCTTAATATATTCTTAACGTGTTCCTACTTGTTACTATTATTTTCTCCCTCCCCCTCTCTAGTATCTTCTCTATCCTCCCTATCCTCCCTAGGCTCTATAAAAGCATACTATAAGTAGAACTAGGTGGCATTCTAGCAGGAATTAGTAAGGTCTACACTAGTATTAAAGTAATAGTCTTAAAACACGTTAGGAATAGGTTAATAATATATTATAAATAACTTATTATAGCTAGGATAATTATAAGCGTAGATAGTATAAGGAACCTAATAACCTTAAATCCTTAGTAAGGTAGATATAGCAACAAAGTTAAGCTATAACAAGTTAGTAACGTGTTTTTAATAGGTTCTTACAGGCTATACCTTATTATTATTATAGCTAGTGCGAGTCTTCTTCTAAATTATATTTAGGAGGGTATTAGTATTTATAGGGGGGCCTATAGTAGCTACTAGCTAGGCTTAGAGAACTTCTATAAAATATATTAGTAATAAGTTTTAAATATATTCTAAATAACTTATAGCAAGGAGTATTCTAGTAATTATATATAACCTTTATATAGAAGTCTATATATATTAGTATAATAAGTTAAGAATAGGTTAATAATATATTTACTCTTTACCTTATAGACCTCCCTTATAGAGGGCTAGCTAGTCTTCTTAACCTTACTAACCTTATAGTAGGCTATATTAAGCCTATAATCTTTTTTAGCATAGGTATATAGAGTGCCCCTAGTACCTAGAATAGCCTAAGAATATTAGAACCTGTTTAGAACACGTTTAGAACCTATTCTTACTCTATATAAGGTGCCCTTATTATTAATCTTAGTATAGTAGTAGCGCTCTCTACTCTCTATCTTAACTACCCTATTAGGGCTAACCACAGGCTATGCCCTAATATTATCTAGGATATAGCTAAGGGCAAGGTACTATTAATAGTGCTTCTATAACCTATTAAGAATATATTCTAAACATGTTTTAATCTGCTTATATAGGATATAAGGGATGTGTTAGTAATAGGTATAGTAGTAGTAGCTTATAGTGTTACTAGTATAGAATATATTTAGAATAGGTTTAGAACGCGTTATAAAATCTTACAGCATAATGTTTGGTTAACCTTGCTTAGCTAGCTAGTGGAGCTTGGCACGGCCTAACCCTAACGTGATCCACCACCAAGCGCCTACCCCCACCGAGCGCCCACTAACACTAAAATCACCAAATTTTCAACACTAAATTTCTTAACAACCATGGCACCTATTAACAACGCGCTTGCAGCAATTAAATCCTTAACTCTTAGAGAAGATTTTATATACTTAGAAATAGCAGAAAAGTATGGTTACTTGTAGTTAACCTTGTCTAGACGCTACTAGAAAATTTAGTAGGCGCGCACTACTACTCTACTAAATAGTTAAATACTTAACACTACGCAAGAAAGTAAGCTTATAAAGTATATTAAAGAGCTTTATAGGCAAGGATTACCCCCTATATAGACTATTATTTAAAATTTTGTAACTAAAATAATAGGGAATCTAGTAGGTAAAAATTAGGTGTAGCGCTTTATTAACCACTATAATATTAATCTTATCTCCTATTAGGCTACTAGGCTTAATTGTAACTGCTTTAAAGCTAATTCTACCTTTAAGTATAGCTTATACTTTAAGCTTTTATACTAAAAAATAGAGCAATATAATATTAAGAGTTAGTATATCTATAATATAAATAAGAAGGGTTTTCTTATTAGAGTACTATTAAAAACTAAACGTGTGTTTAATAAGAGCGCCTATAAGTAGAGAAAGATTAGAGCTATGCTCTAGGATAGTAATAGGGAGTGGATTACTACTATAGCTTGCATATGCGCTAATAGTACTACTCTTACCCCTACCCTTATTTATTAGTCCTAATCTAGAGCTCTATAGGATACCTAGTTACAAGATTTTAACCTATTATAACACTAAGCTTTCTTTGTAGGATTACTAAGTAGGTGGACAAGCCACACCCTAGGGGTATCCTAGCTTAAGGAGGTGTTTAATCACAAGAGTAAAACGCTAAAGCTTATACTTTATACTAGCTCCTTATCCTTAATAGCTATAGATCTTACGTAATAATAGAGTTTATTAAGTACTATAATAAATACAAGATCCTACTTATAATATATCCCCCTTATAGCACTTACACCCTTTAGCTACTTAATATTATAGTATTTACTCCCTTTGTAGCTTTATATAAAGCTTAACTATCTAGTTTTCTAGATAGCTCCTAAGGGCTCACGAGCATTACTAAGAGGGATTTCTACTAGTTATTTAATACTATATAGAGCAATACCTTTAAGGAAAAGCTAATATTAATAGCTTTTAAAGTAACAGGTATCTTACTATTTAACCCTAATATTATCCTTTTAAGGTTTAAAGTACCTATAAATAATAGTAACTAGCCTTCTTTAAGTAATAGTATAACCTTAATATTAAGTGTAAGCAATTAGAGAAAGATAGAGTAGTTACTCTATAATACTATAATTAATATCTATAATAAACAGTTAAAGAAGCTTAGCTAGATAATCTACACTATATTAGTAAGAAATACTCTACTTAACTATAAAAATAAACACCTAAGGGCTACTCTAGCTAATAAGAAGAAGCGTAGGAAGCGTAGTAAACCTCTATTATTACCCCCTAATAATAATTATAGTAGTAGTGCCTAATTTATTTTACTATTAAAGGTAGAGTAAGTGTTTAAGCTCTAGGAGTAAAAGAACCTTAAAGAATAGGAGCTATAATACTAAAAAAGTAAGGTAATTAAGCTTTATAAATAATAGAAGCTTACTAAAGCTTAACTTATAGAGGAGTATTACCTAAATTAAGTAATTACTAAGAAGGAGTAGGAGGAGAAAGCTACCTAAAAAGCTACTACACGTAATAAGTAGAAAACTACTAAGCAACTAGAAAAGTAACTCTAAAATAATATTAAAATATTCTAAATAGGTAAGAGGTAAATCCTTAAGCCTCCTACTATTATACTAGCTAAGGTAGTTAATAAGGAGCTAGTAGAAGAGGATATAGTAGTAGAGGCAACTTTATAGCATAGGCGCCTAATTAGACCCCCTAAAAAGCTGCTTATATAATCTAAAATATTTAATCTACTCTAATAGATCTAATAATTGCAACTCTAAGAAATCTTGTAATAATAGCTATTATAGGTGGCGCAATATCCTTATTTAGTGGGTGGTGGATTTTGGTGTTGGTGGGCGCTCGGTGGGGGTGGGCGCTCGGTGGTGGATCACGTTATATGTGGGGTGCGGTGCTTCATTAGCTCTAGCGGCCCCTCAAGGTCAGGAGCTTTGCGGCCAACTTGATCGATGATTGGCGGACACGATAACTTCCGGCGGGTGCCATGCCCAATTTCATCGCGCCTCGGTGTCCGCCCCGATTGTTTGATATTTGACTGACGTAGGCGGGGTGGCTTGCGGCTGTGCGTACCTTGAAGAAGGCGTACTTTCATTTTCACCACCGACAAACTTTACTACCATAGACTCTAATTGTTTCTATGCTCAGAACGCTAGCAAGAATGGCACCCAAAATCTGGACTCAAGAAAGCTTCACGGTATGCGCACCCATCATCTGGAATCTGCAGCATGTCAAGTTTAGTCTACTACGCACTACGAGGGGCAACGCACACATTCCCAGTTATTCTGTGGCATATACAAGTTGCATTTTCTGGCCTTTTACGGCCATTCTCATCTACCACATACTGCCCACATCAGAAGTCTAATAACGTGCAGCTCAACACTGGGGCAAGGATTCCCGCGATAGGTCTGGGCACATGGCAGTCGAAGCCTGGTGAGGTTCGCGAGGCCGTCAAAGCTGCCCTGCAGTCTGGCTACCGTCACATCGATACTGCCCTTGCTTACGGCAACGAGAAGGAGGTCGGTCAGGGCATCAAGGACTCCGGTATTCCCCGTGAACAAATTTGGATCACCACCAAGCTTGACAATCCATGGCACAAGCGAGTCGAAGAGGGAATCAACAGCTCTCTAGCCAGTCTTGGTGTCGACTATGTCGACCTATACCTCATGGTAAGACTAACTCAAAATTCCGCTCTCAGACTACCAATAACATTGTCAATTAGCACTGGCCTTCATCTACTGACCCCGATGACCTTAAGAAGCATTATGCCGACTGGGACTTCAGGGACACGTGGGCTGAGCTTCAGAAGCTGCCGGAATCCGGTCGCGTGAAGAACATTGGTGTTTCCAATTTTGCCATCAAGAACCTCGAGAAGCTGTTCGCCGACTCGCGATTCAAAATCACGCCCGCCGTAAATCAAGTCGAGCTCCACCCCAATAATCCTTCGTATGTGATCGAAATGTTCTGAAGGGACTTTTGGTGGCTAACGCACCATCAGACCAAAACTGCTGGATTACTGTAAGGCAAAGGGCATCCACGCCACGGCCTACTCCTGTCTCGGCTCTACCGACTCGCCTCTGTATAAAAACGAGAAGCTCAAGAAGCTTGCGGAATCCAAGGACAAGTCGGTTCAGCAAGTCCTACTCATGTGGGGGCTTCAGCGTGGCACCAGCGTCATCCCCAAATCGGTTACCGCATCGCGCATCCAAAGCAACTTTGAGCTCGATGGCTGGGAACTGACTGACGATGAAATCAAGGAGATCAACTCACTTCCTGAACGCTTCAAGGTGTGCGACGACTCTTGGTTGCCGATCAAAGTCTTCTTCGGCGATGATGAGTAAGTAGGGTGAGACAATGACTTAGTAGACACTTGAAACATCGAATAGACGTCTACAGTTGTATTTCTCCCAATGAAGAGACCATTCAATCTTTGAACATGTGAAATGCTTTGCCGAAACATTGCACTGAGACCTGGTAAGAAAAGCTGTGAGAGGGCAGTACACGGGTGTTAAATTTGCCGATAGTCATGTGATCACGCGTCACGCGCTAAACACCAAGCATCGCGTCCCTATCTTTCAGCCATGCCACCGCCACTCATTTCGACACTGCCTGACCTCTTTTGTCAACCCAGAATTCCACATTTGCCCCATTCACCCATAGATTTTCGCAAATCCTTGAAAAGGAAGAACCGCTGAAATGAGTAACGAAGAAGAACAATATGAGGAGAGCACCATGGGAGGTCCGGGTGCCCCAACACCAGTGTCTGCACTTGAGGTATATCGCGTGTACTTTTGTAGAGTCGAGAGGATTAACATAAGTGCAGGGTGTTAATGGACTTACCGCACGAGATATCAAGCTTGTTGTGGAAGGTGGCTTCAACACGGTGGAATCTATCGCCTACACGTAAGTTGTGAGGCAGTCAGTAATGCGACCTTATTACTCACTCCTACAGACCTCGGCGAGCTCTCGAGCAAATCAAGGGAATCTCGGAACAGAAAGCATCGAAACTGTTGGCTGAAGGTAGGTCAACAACATCTGGTAGGGTTGAGGTTACTGACGATTGCAAGCCTCCAAGCTGGTACCAATGGGCTTCACAACCGCCACGGAAATGCACTCACGTCGCAGCGAACTTATTTCTATCACCACAGGATCGAAGCAACTGGACACCCTTCTTGCAGGTGGAATTGAAACTGGCTCCATAACAGAGATTTTTGGCGAATTCAGAACGGGCAAAAGTCAGATTTGCCATACATTAGCCGTCACCTGCCAATTACCCTTTGATATGGGTGGCGGAGAGGGAAAATGTTTATACATTGATACAGAGGGTACTTTCCGCCCAGTACGATGTCTTGCCGTGGCAAATCGATTCGGCCTTTCTGGCGAGGAAGTCCTAGATAACGTCGCGTACGCACGCGCCTACAACTCTGACCACCAACTAGAACTTTTGAATCAGGCTGCACAAATGATGACCGAAACACGGTTCTCTCTCCTGATTGTTGACTCCGCTACATCGCTCTACCGTACAGATTTTGCTGGACGCGGCGAACTCTCAAGTCGGCAGACGCATCTGGCTAAGTTTATGAGGACGCTTCAACGACTGGCTGACGAATTTGGAATCGCTGTTGTCATCACAAATCAGGTGGTTGCGCAGGTGGACGGTGGGCCGAGTGCAATGTTCAATCCAGACCCAAAGAAGCCGATCGGGGGCAACATTATTGCACATGCAAGTACGACCCGGCTGAGTCTGAGGAAGGGGAGGGGGGAAACCCGAGTGTGCAAGATCTACGACAGCCCATGTCTACCAGAGAGCGATTGCTTGTTCGCAATCAACGAGGACGGCATTGGCGACCCCAAGGACAAGGATCTGGAAGAGAGGAATAATCGATGATGGGGGACAAAGTAGGTACCTGCCCTGGGGATGCATGAGTACGCGCGGTATGTACATAGTCTTGGGGCAAGCGAGCATTCGGACACAATCATTGTAGTGTAAAATCTGTAGTTGAGCAGGGGTTGTAATGATACCACGTTGAATACCAGCATTCCTCGGGATTAAGCCGAGATGGTGCGTGAATATTGGCCTAGTCGATTGTTGTCCATACTCGCAATGATACCTAAACATGTAGAGGCCCGTGCGTCAGCTTGGTCGCTTTGTCGCATTCCCACGTCGACTTCTGTTTTTGGGAGCTCAACCAACGCGTGTAGCGCATATAACAAATCTCAAACATCGGCCACTCCCATCCGCACGACCTGCACGACCCGCATAACTAGAGGTGGACACACGCATGCGAGGGCCATGGCGATGAATAGAGGCACCTGTCTCTATCGGGAAGCCCGCTTGAACATCGAGCCGGCCTTCCCTAACTCAACTATTGCATTCACGCTCCCGTCCAGCGCCCTCAGCACCTTTGGCTCCCGGTCAACATTCAAGCGCACCGTCGTCACCGAGCAATACACAGATCAGGACGAAGATGCCTTTTCCCGACGCCACCTCGCCACGGACGGGTCTATGGTGTTTCGCCAGCACCACCAGTACCCACGAAGCTTCCTTTGGCGCGTGTTGGACAATCGGAGAATGCTCGAGGTCCAGGCGGTAGACTTGGATCACGAATCTAGCAACAGGTTCGAGGCAAACCTGACGTTACTGCTCCAATTTCCCTCACCACTTCGTCCGTTCTGCCTGGCCTTCGCTGAGCCCACCGACCGCGATGCACTCACCATCTTCGCCATTACCACGACCAATGAGCTATACACCATCGCCCTCCACCGTGACTTCTTCGTGAATCCTGCTGCGTCGGAGCAGGACGTGGAGCACTGGTGCAAGAGATCAGAGCCAGTATTGTTTCACGGGCGCATACCATTCAGGCTTGCCGCTGTGCATGTCGATGAGTTGCTGATAACACTCGACGACGGCGCGATCTGCCGCCTGGCCTGGGACAAGACAAATGTTACATGGGACGGCTCGCGCTACCAACAAAGCAACTGGTCTGTGCGGGGGCTTTTGTCATGGAAAGCACAACCAACAGTCCGTTTTGAGAACACGGATCTAGCCGTATCTGCCGCTGTCGCTGCCGCCCTTTCACCAGACAAACGGCACATTATCTCGATATGTCTGGATCACACATTGAGAGCCTGGAACGTCGCGTCGGGACAGCCTGGTGCCCAGATGGACATCTTGGGTGTTGAAGATCGCGCTTTTGAGACAAATACACAGAGTTGCTCCATTAGTCCTAACCAGGCACAGCTGATGGCTATCCACGAAGTACCTGGTGATGTCCTCAATGGTGCGGCCTATCATGTTGTAACATATTCACCAAAACAGCACCAGTTCAAATTCTGGGGGGTGAGGGATGCGGACGATCTTCAAGCAGGCTTTTACGATGCTGCTGCGGGTGCTGAGCTCATTCCTCCAATTGATGAGCTTATGGACACGACCGTGTGGACTCTAGAAGAATTTCATGTCGTCCCAGGGCCCACTGGTTGGACAGGATCGGAGATTTGGCTACGTGCACGATCAGGACCCAGCAGCAGGGTGTACTCGTTGAAGTTCAATCTCTCAGATGATCCTACAACACTTTCGCAGACCTGGAGAGACGATTGGGTTTCTGTCGACACGGGGCCTCTGACGGTAGAAGCTCTGAACGTCAACTCCTTTTACCCACAATTACAAGATATCGGTGAAGATTACAGTGACGTTGATTTGACGGAACGGTGGCTCAGTTTCATCTTCTATCCTGGAAGGTTCACAGTTGCTACTCTAGAAACCGCATTACTAGTCTTTAAACAGGGACTAGAGCCGTCGCAGTCAAGTCGAATGTCGAATAGGAAATCTCTCAAGGACCGCGTTTGTAGCGCTGTAACAGGCCTCGCTACAAGAACTCAGGGGGAAACCCTAGATTCACGGCAATTTGGCAAAGCGATAGCGTCGCAATGGCAATCTTACTATGGCTTGGTGAAGGACCTGCATAAACGCAGAGGGCAGTCATTATCACTTGCTTATGATCGTAAGATGTCCATGCCTTGGCTCATATTGAGCGATCATATTTCCTCAATACGGTCTTGCAGCGATCTCGAACTCACTAAGCTGAACACCGGGAGGCTCGCAACTCCCAACGAATTGAGTAAGCCTCTTCGCAGCGCGGTTCAACGGGCTGAATCTCCTGATGTTGCTCGACTCCTCAATGCAGCATCTTCCTTCCGCCGGCGATTACCACTTTCGGTGCAGCAAGACTTAGAGCGATACGTGGAGTTGGACCTACTGCAAAGTCGGTCTCTGACTATCATCGATCGTATGGAATGGATCGAAAGTCACACTGAACTTGTACAGCAAGTGTCTGATGAAGACCTGTCTTTGCTAGTTGAAGAGCTAGGAACAGAAGTAAAATATATCAGCACTGACACCTTTCTGATCGCCATACAAACTCTGAACCACGAAGAACAAGGTCGACCAAGCTCGAGGAAGCAACTAGCACGCTATGGACTAAGTGCTCTTCTCCGGGTCTCCCAGGACACACTCGAGACAGAGCAGAGTACCTTGTTGGACCTGCTCGCTCTCGTGCTCTTCATGTTTGCTGAATTAGAAGGCGAAACGCCTGAAGATTTCGATGCTTCTGAGGTGTTCACGGAGCTCACTAAGCAGTACAAGGATTGCATTACGGTCTCATGGCTTGCTGGAACGGTATGGGCCCACCAAAGTCATACGGGACTGGCTTCAGAGGTGATAAACAGGAGTCTGAGTGAGACTTTCAAGGTGGGCAAGAGGCTGCCGTTCACTCAAACAGTGCTTGAAGGAATATATGGTCAAACTGCCTCTAACCTGCCTCTACCGCACGACCTAAAGGCGAGTTTACTTACACATTGGAGCCGCGCGTGGATAGCATCTGTTTTCACTGGAGAGGGGCAGTCATATGACAGTGTCGTTGAGGACACAATGGGTGTCTTGCTTGCTCAGTCAGAATATGACTTGGCCTCAGACTTCTCAAAGTTCCTTACTGAGAGCAGTTGGGCTACGTATTTGAAGGGCCGTTTACACGTAGCTTTAGGTGAGGATACGCTGGCCTCACTTTGCTTCCAGAAGCCCGCGTACAATCTTGGTAAGTGACTTGGGTTTTGATTAACGAGCACGACTAGCAGAACTGACTGATTTAGCTTTAGGGGCAATGTTCAGTGTTGAGGACATCGACACAGCTAATCTCGTACCGGAGACAGAGCGCATCCTTTTTTCAGACGGGCTAGCACGCTATTATAGCCACGTTGTGGGCTTGTTCGAAAAAGTCAAACGCTACACCTACGTTGCAGATTTTGCCCGACTAGGCCTTCGATCGTTAACTGGGCACGACGATGAAGAGTCGAGAACAGAGCTTCTGCAGAGACTGTTCACGGCTACTGTACAGACATGTCGTTACCAGGAGGCATACTCGGCCATGACTAGCCTCAGTGATGCAGCCTTGTAAGCTTGCCAGTGGCTGTCCTAGATCTATCAATAGCTAACCAAAACGGCAGAAAACGATCCAATCTTCAATCGCTTATCACGTCCATGATATCACAATCACAAGCTACAGAGCTCCTTAAGTTCCCGTTTGTTGGGCTCACAAACGACGTTGACGCAATCCTGAGCTCCCTATGCCACCAGACGCTCAATCTCGCCTCCGGACCGCCTTACCATCAGACTCTATACTCCTTCCGCATCTCTCGCCAAAATTTCCGTGGTGCTGCTTCAATCCTATATGAACGATTACAGCGGCTGAAAACTACCTCCTCTAAAATACACGATCCAGCCGACGAGTCACTTGCACAGTGCTACCTCATGATCATCAACACACTAGCCTCGGTCAACAAAGAGGACGCATATATCTTGGCCGATCAGAAGATTGATGGCATTGCAGCGCCGCAATGGGGCATTGGGCAGGGCAAGAAACTACTCAAGAGGCAGGTCATTACTCTGGATTCACTCAGGAAAGATTACCAGGCTGAGATAGATCGTGTCGCAGCAATTGAAAGTGGTCAGTTTGCTTTTGTGGACCCGACGGATGATATGGATATCTTGTAAGACAGTGGATACCAGGTTTCTACCATGGCGTTTAGCAAATGAGGAGGGCGCATCCAGCTCAACTTCAAGAGTCATTTCGATTCCAACACATAATTGAGATTCCCACATCAAGATAATAAGAATGGACAGTTTCCATTCAACGTGCTGCCACTTGAGAGTGTTTCAATTGCAGGGACTTCGACCTCTAGAATGAATAACGCAGCGGACGCTTTCGTTGCCACGTTCGGAGAGTTGATCATTCTAGTGACATGAAAGGTTCATTTCCATGAGAACTTCATCTCGTGACTACTTAGCTCCAACCTAGACTTTGTTAATGTCCACAAAGCTCTCAGGTACTCTACGCATCCCCATTTCCCCATTGATCCTAGCCCGTTCAGACCTCCTACTCTTGCCCTACTTCTGCCCGGGTTCTTGATTGAAATTCATACTGTAACCCCCACTGCCCTCGTCTTTGGTGAATTGAAAGTGGTCTGTACTAAGTCCAAACGGTTTCAGAATGCCATTGCCCAACTGTTTCAATTTCCCCATCATCTCCGCCATCTCCGCATTCTTTGCGTTTTCCAACTGCCTGGGCAATATACGCAACGCAGCCTGCACGGCTTGCTGATCGAGCCCGGAAAGCTGGTGCCGGGGGTCAGAAAGCGCAGTATAGTCTTCGTAAGCCCCCTGGAGGGAGGCCCAACCGCCGAGTAAATGGCGGGCTTTTGCGCGGCGAAGAAGGGCTTTGGTTCGTAGTTGGTGTACATTGTGGATTGTATGGTTCGTGCGTGTGAGGGCGGAGAGGAGGGTTTCTGTTGTATCGTCGACTTCGGCTATGCTGCCTTTACTTGTGTCCTTGGAGATTGAGGGGTCAAGGCGGTCAAGTGAGTCTAGTGCTCTGGTCGCGGAGGCTACGGCTTCCTTCCATTCGGTGAGCTTCAGGTGACACGCTGCGATGTTGGAGTGGAGGACGGCGATGTCGTATTCGAGGTAGGTCGGGCAGACTGCGAGAGCCTTCTCGTAGCCTTGTATGGCGCTGTTGTATTCGCCAGAAGCAAATGTTTTGTTCGCGGACGCTTTCTCGGTGTTTGATTCGGACAGGAGTGTTGTTTCCTCGTCCGGTGGAAATATCTCAGGTGGTAATTTCTCCGGGCGTGCGGCCCCTAAGTCTAAATTCTCTGCGGAAGACATCGCTTTGTTGTTGTTGTTGTTGTTCTACCTTCGCAGACTGTGGCTGAATAAGACTGCGGCGTCACTAGTGTAGCTAGCAGCTACCGGTACCGTACCGGGGTACTCTACCTAGCTTGAGCCAACTTTTGGAGCCTCCCATGAGCCTCACAGCCAATTGCACCACGACAACCTAGATAGGTCTCAGGTCAAAGACATCAACACCTAAAAAAGAAGACGATAACTATGGCGCCTACGTGAGTATGTCCCAAGTCTCCTCCCATGTTCGTTTCAATAATGCCGCTCAGCACTACCCGACCACCCCGCATTCGGGCGGCTTTATTCGATATGGACGGCCTACTCATCGACTCCGAGGACCTCTACACGATTGTCACAAACACCATTCTTCAACGTTACGGCCGTCCAGCACTCCCGTGGTCAATCAAAGCGCAGCTGCAAGGGCGGCCCGGCCCCCAAGCTAGTCAAATCTTCCACAATTGGGCGCAATTGCCTATTTCCCATGAAAAATTCATGGAGGAGCAGAAAGCATTACAAACAGAGCTGTTTCCAACTACGAAGCCTCTGGATGGTGTCATGGACCTACTTGCCGGACTGAAGAAGCGAAATGTGCACATGGCGCTTGCAACCAGCAGTCATGCGGGCAACTTCAAGCTGAAGAGTAGCCACCTAGGTGACTTGTTTCATTATTTTGCACCAGAACATCAGGTTCTGGGTGATGATCCGCGTATACCCCCTGGCAGGGGTAAACCCGCGCCGGATATCTACCTACTGGCTCTGTCCACTCTCAATGAAACACTGGAGGCGCAAGGCCAACCACCAATTCAACCTGAAGAATGCCTGGTTTTTGAGGATAGCATTCCTGGTGTAGAATCAGGACGCAGGGCTGGTATGCAGGTAGTATGGTGCCCACATCCCGAGCTCCTAGCTGAGTTCAAGGGGCGTGAGCCTGAGGTACTTGCTGGCTTGACTGGCGAGCACAAGGAAGACGAAGAGGAGCAACTGCGAAAGACTGAAACTGAGGCTGCGCAAGGGAGAAGAAGAGTTGGAATGCCAGGAAAGATCAATGATGGATGGGCTCGTCTCTTGCATAGCTTGGTCGACTTTCCCTACGAAAGCTATGGCATGGTTGACAATGCCAACGCGTAATGATCTATGAATGTCGGTAGGAAAGTACGGTTAACTGGATAGTTTCTTTCTCACCTTTGACGTGTGTTTGCAAAAAAACCTCAATGCTAGCTTATTAGCCTCATATAATGTGCCTACTCATGCTTGGTGTCCCATCTTAATCATATTAGACACATACTATTGATAAGATTCACCTCGTCAACATCATTGAAACACCCGTAGAAGCGTCAGAGAATACTTGACCCCGTGGAGTAAAGCACATCGACCTCCTCATGAACACAAGATCGTTTCTGAAAATATTTCGTAGTATTCACCGCCTTTCGACATAGGTCGTCAGCAAATTGACCAGCACGCCAGGGTCTGGAAATGATATTGGCAGCCCAAAGCGTTCCCGTAACTCCAACTGATTGGACCGAAACTGTTTCTAAAGGCCGGGCGGTCATGCGTACATTCTCTGTTTCGCAATTATACGCTGGTAGCGAGGAGATGGATGATCTAAGCGACCTCCTCAATCTTAGGCGGCTTGTCGTTGGACGCTGGCGCAGCAGCAGGTACGTCCTTGTCTTTGCTATCCTCATCATTTTCGAGCTCCGGCATGTCCTCGTCATCACTACTGTCACCACCGTCCATGCCGTCCATGCCCATGCTGCTCAGGTCCATGCCACCCATTCCCGGGAGACCTCCGGCGCCTTGCGCCGCGCCGAGCTTGCTGAAGTCGATTCCTCCGAAGCCGCCGTCACCACCAGCTCCGGCCATTGGGTTCATCTGGTTCATCATGTCGTCTTCCGGTGCTTCGTCCTGCTCGTCCTCGTCGACCCACTAGCAGCAGTTAGCCATGTCCGACCAAGAAATGGGTGCGTGCATGCGATTGAACTCACCTTGTCAAAATCAGTCTTCAAGAAGTGCATCTTTTTGTTGTCCTTGAGCAGGCGAGGCCAGTACTCCTCCTTGAGCTCCTTCTTGCGTAGTACCAACGAAATGTCGCGTCCGCTGTGGCTAATCTTTGACTCCTTGGGGTCGATCTCGGCGAAGAATTCGAGATCGACAGCATAGGTGACCTTCTTTGAAGTTGATGCGCCCTTGAAGCTAAGCGATTGTTCCTTGAGGTCGAGCTTGAGATCTGACTCGGGTACGTCTGCGGCGACAATGGTGAGGTAGATGTAGTTCTTTTCGGGGTCAGTGCTGGATGAGCGCTGCGCCCATGTGACTGCGGCCAGTTAGCAGATGGTTCGTGCCATGTCGAGCTGGAGCCTGCAGATGAGCTGGAGCAAAAAGAGTAGGTAAATCTGCGGGCCCAGTCTCAGGGCGTAGTCGAGTGAACAAGCCAATAGGCAAGGCTGCTGCTGCTTACCTTCTGGCACAACTGTGGACATGTTGGCGATGGTGAGGGTCGATCTGTAGGTGTAGGTCGAGCTTTGTGCTATCTCGAAAGGGGCGAGGGGGGAGATGGATGGGGGATCGATAGGTTATGTGGAGTGAGATGGGAAGGGAAGATGGTGTTTGTTACCAGTCGAAGTCGATTGAAGGTGGCAGAAATGCGGTGTTGTGGAAGGGACTAGCGTGGAAAGCAATAGAAGGCCTGTGGAAACTTGAGCGGCTACGGTACACCCCCCGTTGTTAGACGAGAATGAAAACAGGGCACTATTTGCGACCATGTGAAGATGGCAATCTGGCCATAAATCAGTGCATTCCTGCCAAAGAAAGAATATGCGCCCAGAAGTTGCGGTGAGTGTGGTTTTACTGTAGTAGGTAAGGTTTGTGTATATGTGTGTGTATATGTGTGTGTGTGTGTCTGTATGTGTAGAGTATGTGTATGTGTGTGTGGCTGTGGTGGCGGCAACGAAGGCGGGGGAGGGGCTTGCTGGGACCTTCCACTTTCCTTCACTTGGCACGTTGGCCGTAGTTTCCCTGCCTGTCATCGCCCTAGGTCGTGTTAGGTTAGGTAGGGTAGTCGCGGGGCACCTGGCCTGGGCAGCAACGTCACGATTTGCCAAGACGGGCAACCACACGACGGGACTTGAGTCTTGAGCGCTCCCCTGCCCCCATCGCGCGCCAGTCATCCATGTTAGCCGTTACATAGCCATGTGTTGTTAGCCATGTCCAGCGTAGCTGGTACTGCACTCTAGCACTCGGCGGCCATTCAACATCCCGGTGCAAGCGAGGACACCAAATGCTATACCTAACTTTCACCTACAGCGAGAGGGCCCCAATACTACTGACTACTGACGACCTACTGACCTACTGGCCCTGTTCATCTTACGGTTACCACATCTCACACTGCCGGCCCACCGGTCTCTGCTGAATCCAAGCTCGACCAGCCCCAGCGGGGTGCTCGCATGCACCAGTTTGGGCAATCATTAATCATGGAGACAATCCGAGGGCTCCTGTGGAAGCCTACACCAGAAGAGCAGGTATGCTGTGCACTCCGATAGGCACACTGACACGTTGCTCGTCGCCCATCAGGCACCCACTAACGGCTTGTCTGTAGAAGCGCAAATGCAATGCTCTCGTGCGCCAAAATGTGCGCAAGCTCGACCGCGACATCCAGCAGCTCAAGGCGACTGAGCAAAAGACAAAGACCCTGATTATGCAATCCAGTAAACGCGCGCAACGCAACCCCTCCATGGCGAAGCAAGCCAACCACGAAGTGCGCATCTTCGCCCGAGAGCTGATTCGTGTGCGGAAACAGAATGCCCGACTGCAGACCAGCAAGGCCCAGCTGAACTCGGTGCAGATGCAGGTCAACGAGGCCTTTTCCGTCCGCAAGATCGAGGGCAGCATCAAGGCGAGCACGGGCATCATGAAGGATGTAAATAGTCTTGTGCGTCTGCCAGAGTTGACAGGCACCATGCGAGAACTGAGCTCCGAGCTCATGCGTGCTGGTATCATCGAGGAAATGGTAGATGACACGCTCATGGAAACCGACATGCTGGACGGCGAGGCTGATGAGGCTGAAGAAGAGGTGGACAAGGTGCTTTCCGAAGTCTTGAAGGATAGGCTTCCCGCGAGCAAGACGAAAGAGGAAGAGCTTCCCACCGCGCCCCAGGCTGTCGAAGAGGACGAAGAGGATCAAGCCGAACTACTTGCACAGATGCGAGGCAGGCTGGAAGCACTCAAGAGCTGAGTCTGCCTTGGTTTGCGCACTGATGCCATGCTGTTTTGAGCCCCATCTATACTCTGTCTGAAAGCGTGAGCCATATGGCCGCCCTGGCCGCAAACCCTGGTCGCTTCATTCGTTACGGCGCGTTGGGTTGTATATCGGACCATTGGCAACTGCCTGTACCGATTGCAGCTGGTCTTGCTGGTCTTGCTGGTCTTGGGTACTTGGAAGTCGTGGTTAAATGGCAAAGGACATAGTTGGTAGCAATGGTCATGACCTTTGAATCACGTCGGGTGCTTCCCTCGCCAGTCTCCAGTGTGGCCATACGGTCCATGTTGATGACGTCAACGTGACCCCTTCACCGTAGTCCTCGTCCTCACAGCTACTATAAATGGTCGTACTCAATCGCAGTCTATTGCTTCTACCCTTTCTTCAATCCAACCATACTTGCCAACATGCCCAAAGCCAAATCACCCGCCAGCAATCCCAATGTCAGCCCAGACCCGGAGCAGAACGGATCTACCATCCGCAAGGCCTTTTTCCTCGAGGCGGCAGCCAACTTGTGCACAATACCACTGGTGACCAATACTCACTTCACACTGTCGTTTCTTCTAAACAATACTGCCGACCTAAATTCCGCAAGCATACTTTTTGCCAGACTCTTCGGTGGTATTGTTGTGGGTGGTCTTACCTCGGCGCTCCTAGCTGGCTCCACCAACACCAGAAATGGAATTGAGAGCAGAAGACCTACCTATCTGATGTTGGGTCTTGGGGAAGCATTTCTCATTCCAATCTTTCTTTTGGAGCTCCTGAAGGATGGAAGTCTTGACGCGGCGATTAGCAAGAAAGTGGCGATGACCAGCATCGTCTGTCTAGTTCCGCCCTTTGTGTGGAGAATGTATGTGCTCTGTGTGAGGCCAGACATATTGGGCAGGTATAAAGAAGATAAGGGGAGTGATGGAAAAGCACAAAGCGGAACGAACTGTGAGTGACGTTGATTTGCACAGCAACGCAAAGCTGCTTACCGATATGCTGATACTAGCCCAGATGGTACCATCAGGTCGTGCGAAGAATAAATAGTGAGGTTGATAGTTGTTGGTAGTTATTGGTAGGCTAACAAGGGGGTGTATAATATCAATATCGGACGAATTGAGCGTTTCTGTGTGCTTGGCCGTCTTGGAGATGTCGTGCTTTGTAGACTATGTCATGAGTCGAGTAATAATTCAGCACTTGCACGCCGCTTGACTTGGTTACCTTCCGGTACCGTACCAGGATGAGGCCGCAGCTCACCGCTCACCGGACCGCCTGCTAATCTGCCGCACCCTTCTCTCATTCCACCTCGAACACAGCGCTGCGACATCATGGGTCGCAGGCCCAACCAACTGATTATCGACTATTTTGAACGCGGCCCCAAGCTCGAAGATGCGAGCAATCGCTACCAGCACACGTGCAAGTCATGCGGCGAAAAAGTGCGTGCATGCAGCCCTCCCCTCCCCCCCAGCCGTGGCCGCCGCCGAGATGAAATAGAAAATCAGTGAATAGTTGCTGACAGCGCGTGCAGTTCCCCAAGGGCCGCATCGACTCCCTCACAAACCACCTGGCCAAAAAATGCCCGGCACTACCCCCCCGCGACCGCCAGCGTGTCCTACTGCAATTAAATGAAATGCCTCTACCTGACAGCATGGGCCAGCCTGCCAGTGCTACAGGAGCAGGAGCAGGAGCAGGAGCGGGCACAGGTACAGGTACAGGTGCAGGTGGAGATGCGGCTGCGAATGTCATTGCCGGCACCAGCGCCATGGGGCAGGGCGGCCGCAAGATGAGCCTTCCGTATGCGCCCTCGAAGCAGCTCTCTGCCTTGGAGACGCTGGCCGAGGTCTCGCGACAACACCTCGACCTGTCCGGCAAGCGACTGACTGCCAAACCGCCAGCCCATGCGAATCACGCCAACCACACCGGCTTCATAGACGAGTTCCTCGTTCAGGACGACAGGCCAGATGGTTGCGACATGGGCAGCCTCTCACAGGCCATGGACATATCGAATGCGCCCGCGCTGCCTTCCATGTACCAATTCAATGGCCCATTGCACCATTCACCCACAAGCTCACCCCACATGGGAAGCATGCCGCTCTCTAACTCTGCCTCCATGTCACATATGGTCCCCTCGCTGGTCATGGCAGCATCGGCCGCCAACGATCTCATGCCACTGACCGGCGGCATGACCACGGACTCGGACATGACCCTCTCGGGTAACAGCATGCACAACATGTCAGAGAAGCTGTTCCAATCACAGGACCACGGGCAATGGGCAAGCCTGCAACCAAATTCCCTGGACCCTATGTTGCAGGACCACGGCAAAGACCACATCATGTCTCAGGCTGACCGTGTACACAAAATCACCACTCATCCGCGGCCAATCGCGATGAATCCAAATACACAGACTCACTTCACTACCGACTTCAGCATGAACCAGAAACCTGCAAAACCCAAAGTCAGAGGCCGCTTCTCCGATTCGAGACGCAAAGAAGTGCAGGAAGTCCGCAAGCGAGGTGCCTGTATTCGCTGTCGCATGCTCAAGAAACCTTGCTCCGGAGAGAACCCGTGCAATACGTGTCAGAACGTGGAGAGCGCTAGGCTTTGGAAGCAGCCGTGCATACGGACCAGGATCGCCGAAGAGTTCAGTCTCTACTCTGCGGGTTTGCATACTGTATTGGCATACCACGCAACAAACCAAGCAAAAGGTCAGGTGCGACTAAACCAGACGCCTGGTCGAATCGAGGCCACCCATTTCCCTGACGCCGCCACATTCGTGACATTCTCGCCACTGAAATGCCAGCACCCACATGCTGCCCAAAGTACAGACATTGATCCCGCTATTCTGGCTGCACTTGCATCTTCGGACCTCGAAATGATCGATAGTGACGATGACATCAGCGGTAAACTAGACTTGTATATCAAGAAGATGGGCTCCTGCTTTCACAATAGAGAAGACTCGCCGTTCATGGAAGTCACATCACGAACCGCGTTAAATATGAGCCGCTCTAATCCAGATGGACTGTTAGCCAAGGTGCTAGAATTGTGGAATCTGACGCGACTGCTTACTTCTCGTAGTCTGGCCTGGCATATATCTTCCAACCCATCTCTTGCCCCTACAATGGCCCCATCCATACTCAATTCAGCGGATATAGAGGATGCCGCCCGGATCCACATAACCGCCCTTACTCACCAGCCTTCGTACGACCTTATCGTCTCACAGCTTATGGGTGCTACGGAAAAGCGTGCATCCTCTCTGGCTCGAATAGTCATGAATGATCTGGAACGACGTCTGCTCCAACGCCAACAGGCAAATCCTTTCGAGACATTTCTGGTCGCTGTGATCCTCTTGTCCTGTGTTGAGCGGATGTGCTGGCTCTTCCGCACATGGGAGGTCCAAACCGCCGCTGCTCCATCCTCAAATGCTGAGCTGACACAGCAGAGTTCTTCTTCAAAGCAGGATCTAGCGTCGGCTCTTGAACTCCCATCCTCCCCCGCCGCGCCCGTACAAAATGTTCCTTACCCACCATTGCGCAACCCAAGGTGGCCTCTCGACAAGTCTCCCGCTGCATTCTCTCAGCAAGGTGAGCGTTTCAGCGATATTCTGAACATGCTGCTTAAGATGCGTGGTGTTCCCCCAAAGCCTACTCCCCGAAGCACAGATGGTGTACTTTCCATGTGGGGGGATGATGTCGATGAGAAGGTTCGCGATTGGTATGATGATATTGCAATTACCTGTGATAGGTTAGACGAGAAGGCCAACGCGCGGTTCCTGGGGGCGGACTCGCGGGAATGGGAATTAAAATATGTGGGGAAAGTGATTCGCGGTGACTGATGTCACGCTCGTGGAATCACGTAGAGTTCAATAGGTTCTCGCAGCCACGTCAAAGCAACGAATCTTGTATTCAACCGCCATTCGGGGTTCATCTTTCCAATGATCTAATCCATGATAACGTTTCCGTAACGCCTCGCTGCAACAAAATGCTCAATTTCCAATACCCATCTACAATCTTCAATCGTCGGCAATACCACCCCATTCCGCCTCCTGATCCTCGTCCTCTGGTTCCTCTGAAACATCATCTACCTGCCCCCTCCAAGCCCTCAACTTATCCTCACCCAAACACTCCTTCGCCGCACTCCTCAACGCCTTTAGCTTTCCTTCCTTGGCCAACTTCTCAATGGGTAGCACGAGTAGCTCCAAAATCTCCCTCCTCTCCTCTTTGTACCACTCCTCTCCGTCCACCTTGTCCATCTCCTCCACCCATACGTCCAAGACATGATACCTCAACCCATTGGGAATCCGCATGTTCTGACTCTCCAACGGCGTCTCCTCGACCACAGCATTCCACTGCGTCACCAAACTCTTCTCCCAATTGTTCCTACTCAGAAAGGTAAAGGAAGCGTTGATGTACTGGCGAATGAGGTATAAGTATTTGTCCAAGCGCAGGGCTTCTATTTGTTTCCACTCGCGTGCGATGGTGAGGAAGAAAGCGCGGAGAAAGGGTAGCACGACTGGGGTACGGAGCGTGGGGACAAGGGAGGCAAGGTCCCGTGAAAGGCGCTGTTGGAGCACGGGCTTGTCTTGCATCCATAGACCTAGGCGTGGGGGTGTTAGAGGCTATTGCGGCGCAGGTTCTTGGAGGAAATATACAGTAGAATAGGCCTTTCCATAGTTTCAGCAAGTCCAGCTCCGAGATTTCAGATTGCGCGCCGAGGTAGGTTTTGAGTGAGTTGAGCGCATGATCGCGAATCTTCTTGTCTATGGCCAACATGTCAATCTCGCATACTAGCATCCACAAGGGCATTCGTTGACTAACCACTGGAAGCCAGGTTCCGGATAAAGGGGCTATCTTGCGCGTCCGAAGCCATTTCGAAATAATGTGTAGCGTCTGTAGCTTTGGAGGTTCGAGTATTGCGCTTGGCTGTCGAATGGGAAACTTTTCTGGCGGTTCGGCGGTACTGCTTATCGATAAGCGCGCGTAGCCGTCGACCTCATGTCCAATGCACCACCGCCAACATGACCGCTCATTGCTATTTTCTTCCGAATTTCCTACTATTTCCAATCTGCCGCCTAAAACATGCGCAATTGTTGCAGCGTCTTTGCAGAGTAAATTCATAAGTTCATACTCTGAACTATACATATTCTACAATGTTTTTCAAGGCTGTCTGTCTTTGCTTGGTACCGTACGTTGACACCCATGTATTTTTTTATAAAAAAGTTATGGCTATAAATGTATCCCAGTAACTTTACCATGCTATACGTTTGACAGATTTTGATAGGACTGTACTTCAGGTTTACTGGCTTGTAGCCTCTTACGGTCTTAACCTTACAGTAACACAGATGCTTAGCTTAGAGCTGTGCAGCTGCTGGGTACGTCTATGATGTGTGGTCTGTGCTCTGTATTACTAAGCATTGTTTTCGTGCTAGGAGGCTGGAGGCTGGAGCTAGCCAACTAGTGACACTGTTTCCTAGGACCTAGACAGACAGTATACCCACCCTAAGGGCTTGCACGCTCTTACACATACACCAATAAAACGTGCTAAACATCCAGTAGGCTCTTTGTTCCAATGAACACGCTATTACTAATATTTCTAGCACGTCGAAAGTTGCAAGAGAGTCGAGACTACCTACTTGCTTAGCTTTCTAGATTCATACTGTGTATACCCTTGATCCCTCTGGTCGCTCGAATCTCGGGTAAGTTTGCGAGTCTTTCTCGTAGTTAGACTATTAGTGATATTGGCTGCCTGGGCCAAGCAGGGAAGCTGTAAGGCTATTATACACTTCCATCTAGTAGGCCTCTACAGACTACAGCCCACAGCTGGCAGCTATCGGACCGAGTTAACAATGCACAGAAATGCCCTCCATGGTTGTGGTGCCATCGACTGGACAGGAGAAGCGACGGGTGTGGGTAGATCGAGTAAGCCGGGTTCTTGGATCAGTAACCTTTTTCCACGTCTATTAATCACCTTTTAGGTCCATTCCATCGTGTCTAATCGGCGGAAGAAAGATGTGCGTGCACCTCACCCATTTCTGTATATCACTTTGGTCCGTGCTTAATTCTGATACTGGCCTCTAGGAAGAACAGTACTTAGTGCGCTGGACAACAGACGTCGACACCTTGCAGCCACCACTGAGCTGGCACTCCATCTATGAACTGGTGCGATGTTTAGAGCATATTCAGGATTATTTGGATATTCGAGAGCGGTAAAGCTGCCATCTGCCTACATAGTAGTAAACAGTTGTGACGACTGCTAACGTCTGATCTCAGATCCCGACAGGCCGGTTCACAGCGATCCGCGGAGAGTCGAAAGAGAAAAGCTTCAAAAAATGAATTGGATGTTGAGTGGCGACATGCTCCCTTCGAACGTCTGCAGGGAGAGAGGGGTCACAGATCTTCCATGTCACCCTCGTTATCGGAGACGCTTACGGCATCCACTTCAGCGGACACATACAATGGTGTTCTCGACATGAATGAGGCAGGGTTCATCTACTGTCGCCATGTCTGTCTTACTATATTTCAGCATCTTCTCCTACTAACAAAGTTCAGGACGCCAACACGGATACTCCCCGTATTACCATCAACTCAGTTCCCACCCCGGAAATGCTAGCCGACGCTTCAGTATCGAGGGTCGACACCGCTCTCAAGCTAATACGCGATGCTTACGTCCGCAAACTAAAACGCGTGCCCGGAAAACCAATCCACTTGATTAACACGATTGACTCGTCCACGCCGTCTCTCCGCTTCCGCTACATCTCAGGCTACGTCCTTGACCCGAAGAGCGGGGTCGAACGTGTGTCTTCCGAAACCCAGGAAGGCTGTCAGCAATGCTCTCCGCAGATGGGTCGCAGCATTGGCTGCGAATACACCAAGAAATGTGAGTGTCTAGAGTATGCGGCCGTAGACGAGTCGCGCATCACGGACCCAGAGATGAAAGCTGCGTATGCAGAGGCCATGGCAACGGGTGGGTCCACCATGGGCTTTCCCAAAAAATTCCCCTATTTCGCGTCGGGCACCAAGATTGCAAAGACGGGGTGCCTGGTGCCGTTTTATCTCGAGTCGAGACGCCCGATTTATGAATGCAACGACCGTTGCAAGTGTGGAAGGTATTGCCGGAACAAGAATGTTCAGTTTGGGCGACAGGTCGAGGTGGAGATCTTTAGGACAGAGGGCGGACGCGGATGGGGCTTGCGCTGCAAGACGGATCTACACGAGGGGCAATTCGTCGACACGTATCGAGGTGAGATTATTACCGACGCCCAGGCCACAGAACGCGAAGGAGCTTCTTCCAAGGCAAAAGCGTCGTACCTCTACTCCTTGGACAAGTTTGCCATGTCAGAGGGCATCGCGAAAGAGGCAATTCTGGTCGTGGACGGAGAATTCATGGGTGGGCCGAGCAAGTTTATGAACCACTCGTGTGAACCGAATTGTCGACAGTATACCGTGTCCTACAACAAGCACGACCCGTTCATTTACGATCTGGCCTTTTTTGCTTGCCGCTTTATTCCTGCTGGAGAGGAGTTGACATTCGACTACTTGGACAAGGATGAGGACGACGACGTGGAAGAGAGTGATCGAAGTGAAGGTGCTCAGCCTTGTCTCTGCGGGTCGGCCAAGTGTCGCAAGTGGCTTTGGACCTGAGCAGTGGACTGAAACGTTGGGTATTGAGGCGCCTCGCATGCACATTATAGGTAAACATTGGTTCAATATGGCTGGTAATGGGAATTCCGGTGTGTATCATAATGTACAAGCACCAACAGTCTAAACAGACGTATCTGCAAGACAACACACGCTGACAATCTTGGGCAATGCATAACCAGGCCCCATTTCCTAAAAGGGTTCAATACGCAACTACGATGAAGAAGATGTATATAACGCTCCAATGAAGTGTGCTTCCTTCCTCTTGTTCTTGTCCCAGCACAAAACAATAAACCCTTTTACCAACTTTGTCCGAAGACCCCTCGTACTCCCCCGTCCTCCCACTACACGTACAACCTGCGACCATGTAACACCGTACAAGTCCAAGCCACATATGCATCTCCATACGCAACCGCCAACGACTGTTTCAATCAGCCCAGCGAAAAAAAGAGGAAAAGGTACGAAATGGTATCAACAATTCCGCCGCGAAGCGCATGGAAGATAGTTTTCCGATCCGAGTCTTATACGAGAATATTTCCCACAACAAACACACAACGATCCGCTAATAATACTTCCAAAATGAATACCAAATGCTGTGCTATGAGAAAAATGCAGTTAAGAAAAGAAAACGAAGGTATACGAAAAACGTATAGCACGGGTAGGGCGGGGGGCGGTTTGTAGAAGATGCAGGCAAAAATTCGTCAGGGTTCGTCTCAGTGTGTAGTGTGATATGAATTACGATAGGTACAGTAGTAGCGGGAAATTAGGAACGGTGATGACATGACAGCCTAGATCATGGGAGTTTCGCCAGTAGACTGATACACACCCTGTTGCAAGTAGTTTGGGGGCATATTGGCACGCACTTCCTTTGGATGCTTGTAGAAAGTATCCGAGGGAGGAATCACCTGCTCCATGGGCTGGGGTGGAGGAGGCGGAGGCGGCGGCATCTGATTAAAGTACGACTCGGGATTTCCGCTATCCGCGGGTGGCGAACGAGTATTGACATTGCGGGGATAGGTAAACTCTGGCACGCTCTCGTACGGCGATCGGTCTGCGCGTGTGACAGGGGGAGACTTTGCGCGCGTGGGGCCACGACTCGTGCTTCGCATGCGTTCGGTGACGCGTTTGAAGGTCATACCCAGATTCTCGCTCACACTGCCTCTGCCGCGGCGGTGCGCGTGCGGAGAATTGGTATTGGTAGTAGGAGAGGACTCCAAGGGCTTCTCCTCTGGGCTTCCCTCGATGGCAATGTTGATCGTGGCCATACCGTTCATGGCAGTGTTGACGCTAAGGTTGAGCGGAGGTGGAGGTGGAGGGGGTGGAGTTGCCAGGTGCTGCAGTTGCGAAAGCAGAGGAGGTGTATTGTCATCTTGCTCGATGATGACGACCTGGCTCTCATGTATAGTCTCGTCGATACTGGCCGTAAAAGGTGGAGGACTGATGCGTTTGTAGTTGGTTTGGGGGAGTACTTCTGGTGACGTATTCTGCCGCACATGACCCCGTCCATTGTTCAAAGAGGGTGGACGGCCTACGCTTGGGTACGTCTGCGATTGTCCGAAGTTCGAAGACGGCAACAGATCCTGTGGTGGCGCCGACATGGAGCGAGGAGGCGCAATAGGCTGACCAAAGGTAGTAGCTGGAAGTAAAGGTCCAATATCATCCTCGGGTGTTTTCTGTGGTTCTCGCATATTCTGTATATTGTCGGGTATGGTTGGAACTGCTGGAATCTCATCTTCTGGATTAGGGTCGGCAGTCATGTAACGTGGATGACGCATCGCGCGTGGGTTCGCTGGCAGGCCGATTGGTACCGAGGTCGTCGAAGTTCCAGCAATATTGGAGCGATTGGTGGGTGAATATCTCTTGCTAATCTCCGGATCTGCGGTTTGACTCCGCTGGATCGGGTCCCGGTACATGGTAAGTGTGTTGAGCATGTCTTCGGTGTTGGATCGTTCGTGCGAAACAGGACGGAAAGCGAGCTCACCCGGATGAGGGATCAAAGGCGCTGAAGGCCGTCTCGCAAGGGACAGTCTTCGGTCCTCGAGCTCTTTCGCTGCCAGTGCCCGTCTCGTCATGGTCGTTGGGCGCAGATGTGATGCGCCCGACCGACCAGAGGTCACAGAGTCGGGCGACCAGTCTCGAGCGTTTCCACGCGTCCGGCTGGAAGCTCGCAGGGCTGGAGTAGGCCTTCGACTCGCGGAGCGTTCACGGGCTGTTTGGCGGTCTGGGGAGGCTTCACGACGAGCGGCTATGGTAATATCTGTTGGTCGGCGACTACGGCTGCGATGGCGATGGCGGATTGGTTCAAGGTCGACAACAGCATCTCCATCACGGTGCATCGGCTGGGGCGAGCGAGGGGAGTTGTCGCCACGCTGAGCACTGCGCCCACGATCATCCGCTGGACGACGACTGGAGGCGCGACTGGCACCCTTGCTGCGAGCTCTTGCAGTGCCATCTGGAGACTCTGTACGGCGAGGTGCCTTGGATGAAGATCTTGTCTTGCTGACGCCGTGGCGGGCTCTGCTACGCGTAGTGCGAGTGCTCGCAACAGACTCAGTGGCAACTGGTGACACAACGCTCATCTTATAGAACCTCTCATCGTCAAACGGCTCCGTGTTGGTTCCAGTCTCTTTATTATTGTTAGAGTAGAGGCCGGCGTCTTCTGGAGACATGGGGACCGGGGACGACGGGGATCGCTTTGCGGGGCGAATGTACCGGATACCAGAGCGTCCCCGGCCTTGAGATTCCTCGCGAGTGCGACTACGGGTACGTGCTGTGCGTGAGGCTGGTCTCTCTTCGTTCCGTGAGCTGGTCCGATTTTGTGAATAATGGTTGGCCTCGTCAAGACTGCTAATGTACTGGTCGATGCTGCGTGCCTTTGCACTCTTGATGCTTTGCCCTGTCAACGGCGGAGTTAATTTATTACTGTACGCACTCCCCAATCCATGGTCCACCACTGTGTCTTGGACGTTCAAATGGAGCTCCTGACGATTGCGACTTCGAGAACTGGTGCGCGATAGACTTCGTTTCTCCTGTAGGTTCTCGAAAACGCCGACGGCAGGGGAAGGCAGATGCCCTTCCGACTGATTAGGATTGAACGTTGTGGCGGACAAGACAATGTCTTTGGATCCACTTGTGGCTCGACGTGTGGAGAAGGGAAGGGTCTCGGCCTCACGACCAACATCATCAATGGCTGTACGTGGATGCGATTCGCCACGTTGTCCACGGTCGGGGATGGCCAGCGAAGCCAAGGCTTGATTGTTTGTTGTCGATCGGCCAGTATCAGATTGAGAGGGATATCGTTTCCGAGTGTAGGCACCAGGTGTGGCAGTCCTTGCAGAAGACGGCTCTCTTGAGGCGTCTCGAGGGCCTCGCTGCCCGAGCCAGGCGCGGCTGCCAACAGCCGGACTAATGGCCGACTCTGCAATGGGAGTGACGCCAGCATTCATGGGTGTTTTCTCTTCATCGTCACGCATGATTTGCCTGGGCTGGGGTCCTCGCGTAAAATCGGTTACCAGCTTGAGCGAAGCCATTCTGGCTGCGACCCTGCTACTGCCAATACTGGGTGGTGATAGCGGTGGACTAAGCTGCGAGCCAAGGAGAGCCTGCTTTTGGGCGGAAAAGACAGCATCTTGGGCCCGAGGTGAGAACCATGGTTCGGTAGTCTCGAGGCCCATGCAGGAGAAGCAACGGACAGCCAATTCAGCTTTGCCGTGGGTGACCGAGTACTCTCCCCACTTTCTGACCAAGAACGATTGTCTCTGCCAGTCAGTAGGGACGGTGAGACAGGTCAGAAGAATGGCCTCCATGTAGTATTTGCGCGAAACATAGACCTCGATTGCATCATTGTGCTCCCCAAGGCCCAGGAGAATGGCGACAGCCGGATGAACATCGCCCTTTTCCAGAAGACGCTGAACAAACGTCTCGCCCACCTTTTTCTGTGTGCTCTGGCCCACATTGCACAAAGCCAAGAGCATCCAGTCGGAGGCTGTCATTGACTCTGAGCCGACCATGGAGGTCAGTAGGTCAGCCCCAGACTCACCGAGCCATTTGGATAACAGCACTGCTGCGGCAGCTCCAGACTTGTGGCGCGCAACTAGGAATATCAGCTCAGCTCAGCTCAGCTCTATTACACGGCCAAGGCCCAAACTTACGTTCGTCTCGAATGAGTTCTTCAATATCATTGTCCCAACCGAACACGACCTTGAGCATGTTCAGCCGGAGGTCATCTGGAGTTCTTTCTGGCCCAAGATCCGTCGGCCGAAATGGCACATCGCTCAGTCTTGCTTTGGTGAAGGGAAAGAGATCCATGGGTTGATCGTTTCGTGGTTCCTCTACCCTTCCGGTGGCTTCTCTGCGCAAAGGCACTGCTTGTGAAACATGTCTTGACGATGTGGCCGACGAAAGTGACCGAATGGAGATGCTTTCACGTGCCGAAGTACCTCCTAACGAAGAGGTGCCTGATGAGAAGACCGTTCTACTCCCTCCCGAGCTCTTGGATGATCGCACGGAGCCGTACGAGGGCTTGTCGTACCGATAGCGGGGCGCACGACCGCTTCCCGATGATCTCGAACTTTGAGAGCCCCTACTCGATACGGGACTCAAAGGACCAACTCTGTCGCGTCGCTCTTCTTCTAATTGATCCATCTCTTGGGCAATCTTTTGCAAAGGCGACATTACCGCTGCCTCGCTGTCACTCATATCGGAATCAGAAGGTAAATGCGGCGCTGTTCTCGAGGGTAGCGCGGTCAGCGGCGTTTCCATCTGCTGCCTTTGCTCATCCAACGAGCTTGGTGGCGAAGGGGGAGTGTTTGCAGGAGCATGTTGGGCGCTCGCTACCATGGTCGCTGGACCATTACTCGGGTTCAAGTCGTATTGTCGTATGCTCGAGTTGCGGCCAATGGTGAAAAGGGTGGCGGTAGGGCCATAGTTGCAAATGGCAGCTATGCCATCCGCTGTTGGAACCGACTCGTATGAAACTCTCTTGGTGCGTACGTCCCAAGCGCAGGTTTGCCTGAAAAGCGCAATGTTAGCCACCGGAAGTGCTCAAAAGCGCTCCCAGTCCAACGCGGTCGGATAAAAAAAAAGAAGGGCAGAACTCGATTGAACGTACCCTTCGGAATATTGTACGATACGGCCATTTTTGGACCACGCGAACCAGCATGGACCCGGTTCTCTTTGCTCTTTCTGGTTCAGGACACGAATCACACACGGCGCATCGCCACCGTGTGCAGCCTTGGGAACACTCCAAACTCTCAGGTCTCCATCTGCCGTTTGGGCGGCTAGCATCTCCGACTTTTGCTTGGACGAGGAGCCATGCCAGGCTAGTCCGGCGAGGGGGGAGGGGGCTCTCGGTGTCGTGAGCGTGTGCAGGATGGTAAAGGATGGCTGGAGGGTGGCAATCAAGATGGAGCCGTTGAGGTACCTGCGCATTGTGCCTATGGTCAGCCGTGCGTGTGATGGGTCGGTTGGGTTCAGAGCAGCACCTACCCAATCGCGAAGGTCCTGCAGTCCGTCGCGGGGGCCAAGGCGGTAATGGGATCAAAAATGGTGCGAGCAGAGAGGTGCTCGGAAGTCGAAGGCTCAAACAGAATGACGTTGCCTTGTGCATTTCCTGTGGGACAGGTTAGTCGAGGAAGTCGCATGAGGCTCCGGAGGAAGTTGGACATGGGCTTCCTTGCCTCCTGCCACAGGTTCCCAACCTACCAAAAGCCACATTGCCATTGCGCATCCAGGCGGCCACTCTGATCTGCTCATACGAGGCAAAGCGAGCGACCTCATCGCCGGTGAGCAAGTCCCAGACAATGGCAGTCGATCCTGCATCATACGAGACTACCAGACGGCCGGCTCCCCTTTCGCTCGTGGTGTCGACGGAGATCCAGGAAACATCTTCGCGGTGTCTGGTGAAGCGTCGTTCAATGGCCAATGTGTCGTGGTGGAGGCATAGAATCTCATTGCGTTGGGCGTACAGCAGGAAGGAGCCGGTGGCGGCACAGGGCTCAAAGGCGAATTCATCTTGTCCCGGGGTAGGCGGCTTGGTGAGTTTGACGTCTGTAGAGCGGACTGAATTGCTTTTGGCGGAATTGGTTCGGTGTCGGCCCATGCCGGTAGACATGGTGGCTGCGGCTACAGGTCAATTGGTGGTCAGAGGGGGGTCAAGTGCAACGCGGCGCATTACGAGACAGGGCGAGAGGAGTAGTGGGTGGGTGGATGGATAGATGGATGGATGGATGAATGAATGAATGAATGAATGAATGGACGGAACGGTTAGAGAAGGAGAGAGTGAATACGGGTGGGTGGGGGGAGGGTAGTAGATAGGATGACGAGATGTAGGCCAAAGCCAAAAGCCAACAGGAAGCGGCACAACGATCAAAGGGGGAAAAGAGGCAACTCACGGTGAGATGCGCGCTAAAGCTGTGCGCTTCTGACAGCGCTCTTCCACGGCGGCTGGCGTATGGCGGGCGGACAGACAAATGGTGTGTTGCGCCCCCGCACCGTCTTTCACGCAAGGATTCAGGGTGGATGCAGTGGAGTGGGGAAATGGGCAAATGGCAGTATGGGCTGAAAGGGTCTTTCCTCGGGGCGATGAAACTACATGTAGCTGAAAAGACAGGCAGACAGGCAGGCAGGCAGGCAGATGGACAGACCGGCCGGCTGGTGGACAGACAGATGGACAGACTGGCAGATGGACAGACAGACAGACAGCCAGACAGACAGACAGACAGCAGGACAAGGGCAAGACAGCGAGGAGGGAAGAAAGGAAGAAAGGAAGAAAGAAAGGAAAAAAGGAAAGCAAGCAAGCAAGAAAGACGAAAGCGAGATTTGGGGAAAAGGCAGACTGGGGTTCTTGTCCACCAAGTCAACATAGGCGCTTAGAGAGCGAGCGACTGGTAGGCTGTAGCCATGTATCGTGCTCAGAATAGGACGACCAGCATGCGCTCCTAGTGCGTGATGCAGCACAGCACCACCACCACCACCACCACGACTACCACGACTACCACGACTACCACGACCACGACCAGTACCTGACCTTGGAACCCCCAGCACTCTTCTCACCGGTGACATGTTCATTCCCCCTAGTCACCAGTGACCACCAGTGACCATGAATGACTATACGACCGCCCATTCACCCCCATTCACCCCCCATCACCCCCCATCACCACCACCCACCCCATGCCATGCCGGGAAATGAGGCGTCAACGGGCTGTGCTGTTTGCTCTCATTTGCTCTTGCACGCTGCTTGGATGCAACCTGTGAGAAGAGAGCGACAGACTGCTCACACGACGGCCCTGGGTGTTCGCGTCTATCTAACCAGGATGGCGCCTCTGTCACTAGCCGGACATGGCCGCTGATTGGCTGTCCTGTACGGGGCTAAAAGGTCGTCACATCTGTTACCGCCCACCTTGGGCCGGTCCGAAACCCCATTCCTTCTCTCTTCCCTCACTCTCACTCTCACTCTCACTCTCACTCCCTCTCACCGTCGCCCTCTTCTTGCTCTGCAAATGACTCTCTGTTTCGCGCCACCTCCCCATAATCCTCCCCATGTCTCCTTGCCCCTGAGACGGTCAATAGGGTACCTATAGGAGAGTAGGAGAGGGGACAAATGCAAGCAAGGCGGGAAATCGAATGCTGGGCTGGGTGGGAATGGGCTTCCCCTCCAACGCATGGCTACCTGAAAGCAGTCTCCTCGTGTCCAAGCTTCTGCAACGCCAGCTCTCTGCTCCCGCAGTGCTCGGCACGGAATAGGTAGGAAGGTAGGTAGGTAGATACCATGTAGGGACCATGCAGATATCATGTAGGTACCATGTAGGTTCCATGTAGGTACCATGCACCATAGTAGGCACCATGTAGCCAACTTCATCCAGGTAGGTACCAAGTACTGTACTGTACTGTACCATGCTAAGTTGCACGCACACGCATTCAACCTCCCCTCTACCTTGTGTACTACCTACCGAGTAAAGTGGCATTCGGGGGGAAGTGCAGCCCAGATCCCCTGACCCGATGCCCATGCATCACAACCCGTAGAGTGGAGTTGGATGGTCCATGGTAGGCATAGTTCCAATAGTACCATGTTGTAGGTAGGTAGGTAGGTAGGTAGGTAGGTAGGGTAGGGTAGGGTACATACTCTAGTAGAATACCTACATGACATCGACGTCCCCAGTGCGTGGTTACTCCGACCATTCCATCTAGGTACCTACATCATGTATGTACTTGTTATGGACTGGCCTCAAGGGAGAATGCAATAAGCGTTGATAATAGTATTCAGTATCTTAAAGGAGAGATAAGCCCTCCACGCCTTTTTTATAGGTGTCTAGTGTGTTTGCTTAGTAGTAGTGTTAGACTTGGTCTATCTTATATTAGACCTAGGCTTAGGTATAAGCCTAAGTCCTTTATATACCCCTAACCTTCCCTTATAGACTATCGTGAAATCGTCTTTCTAGGGTCTAGGGTTATATCTTTGTCCTCTACAATCTATATTAGGCTTTATTACTATATTTTTTAGTTTTATTATTATATCTTTATATTCTTTCCTAATTTATAATAGGCCTATATATTAAGTAGTACGCGCGCGTAGTGTCTATACACTTATTTTAGTACCCTACTATAAAAGTTCTAATATAGCTATCCTACCCTACTATAAATTTCCTAAACTTACTTTATCCTATAATAGATTTTCCCTACTAATTAGCCCTTCCTCTAATCTTTTTCTATTAATTCTACCTATCTAGTCCCTATTATATCTTTATTTATAGCTACTAGTGCTAGTAGTAGGGATCTACTATAAGGTAGTTAGACCCTGCGCTAGGCCTACTAAGATAAGGTACGTACTTCTAATATTCTCCCTATATTTCCTATACTAACTTTTTATTTAGCACATATCTCCCTAAACTAGGTTACTTAGTAGCTTTATTATTTCTAGTAACTTAGATAATAAGGAATATAATAGTAGCTTTATAAAGCTACTTCCCTATAATTAGTATATTAACTAGCTTTATCTCTTTAGTAAGTATAACTATTAGGAGGGTAGTAGTAAGTTCCCCTTAATTTTTATTTCCTTTATAGCAAGTTCTAACTATATCTAGGGCGCTTATATAAGTCCTGCTATTATAGCTATAAGACTTATACTTAGTTAGAAGCTATCCTTACTAATAATCTTAATATTTGCTAAGCCCTCTATAACTAGCTTTAGTTTTATTATAATTACTAGGAGGATTGCCTTTATATTATAAAGAAGGGGACCTTTAGCACTTTTATAGGGAAACCTACTAAAGGCACCTATTACTAGTTTATACTATAGTTCTACTAGCTCTACTATTATTTTAAGGATCTTATATTAAGGGCTTAAACTAATAATACTATTACTCTACTTACCCCTACTACTTACTTACGCGCCTATAATTAGTGTTAGCTTAGTGCTATTATTCTATCTACTACTAGTACTCTAGTATTTCCTCTTTAGTCTACTATTACGCCTTTATATAGTAGTTATAGTAATAATAATATTATATAGCTTGCTACTACTACTAGTATTACCTTCTAGCGTATTAACTAGCGTATAAATAAGACCTAGGCCTAAACTAACCTTTATATTAATAGGCTTAAGAGCGCTACTAAGCGCACTACCTAAGGTATTAAGACTCTTATTATTAGTATTAGTTTTCCTTTATTCCCTTTATATCTATTCTAATATTTATTTTCTTTAGGCCTAGAGTACTATATATTAGTAAGCTATTAAAGCACTACCCTCCTTCTAACGCTACTACTACTACTACTTATACTTGTTAACTAAGTTGTCCCCTACCTATAACGCGCGTAAGTGTTACTACTATTACTAAGAGATATAGAGGCGTTAGAATAATATAAATAATAGTTTAGGGGAGGCTAAAGAGGGGTTAGTTATAGATAGTAATAGTATAGATACTGCTACCTAATTATTAGCTATATTATAAAACTTTAGTAGTAGGGCACTTGCTTAGAGTATTATAAGGATAATTAAAAGATTTCTCTAATACCTTTCTACTTCTTAATTATAACTAAGGTCTAAGTTATTATTCTAGTTTCCTTTTACCCTTACTTCCTAGTTTTTATATATATTAGGCTATTATTATACGTGGTATCCCTATACTATTCCTTAAACCTATCTAGAGCCTTAGTATCCTATACTACCTCTAGTAGGTGCTATATTAGATTAATATACCCCTTTTATTTTACTAGGACTTAATACTTTCCTTTTTCTCTTATATTCTTTATATAAAGGATCTCTTCTACTTCCTATTTATCTAGCGTTATATCTTTATTTTCTAGAGTAACTATTAGGCCTAGTTATAAGTCCTAAAGCTTCTAGCTTAGTAGTAGGTTATTAGTAGCTCTCTCTAGTAGATCTATATATATAGTCTTATATAAGTTCCCTAGTAAGTCTAATACTACTATAAGTAGAGTAGGGACTTCTATTACTTTATACTTAACCTATAGCTAGTTAAACTTTTTACTTAGTTAGTTTATCTTTATATTATATATTATAAACTAAACTATATTACCTTTTAGGAACTTTTTAGCTAGGTATTAAGATTAGTTTATTACTTCCTATTATTATTACTATTAAAATATAATAGTAGCTTGCGCTAGCTCTACACCCCTCTATAGGTATAATAAAAATATTATAGCTTCTCTATAAGGATTCTTAGGCTTTACTAGTAGTAATATTATCTTTTATAGCGTGTCTATAGTATACCTATTTAAAAGTAGATTTAGGCTAATACTAGTTATACTAGAGTCCCTATTATTAAGTGCAAGTTAGTAGGCTAGTAGGTAATTAGGCTAGTTAGTCTGCTTAAAGCATACTATTATGCGCAGCACTACCTACACTTCTTAGTTTGCCTGCTCTATCCTGCTATCTATCTAGGGGTAGTATATAGTAGATAGTAACTAGTTTATGCTTTATTATCTAGTATAATATTATCTAGAAGGATCCTAACTAGTCTAAACCTTAGTTAGTAATAATAGAGGATAGGAAGCCCTAGAACTGCTACTAGTTATCCTAGAAGATCCTTGCATAATAATTAGCTACTATAGAGACTATTACCTTAAGCTAAATATATTTAGATAATCTATTAGTAATAACTAATAGGTACTAAGGTTTTCTATTATCTTTTGCAGGTAGGTTAACTATAAAGTCTATAGATATTTAGGACTAGTATTATAACGTAACTAGTATAGGTTATAATAGACCCTATTAGCGCCTCTAGGAGATATAAGTACTATAATAATAGCAGTTCTAAATATACTATATAACGTCTCCTAATATTCTATCCTAATAATAGTTATAGTATAGTATTTAAAATATTATATTCTTTCCTAGATATCCTACTAAACCTAATTTATATACTTACTATATAATAGTAGTTATAAGGGGTTCCTATATTAGTAACTAAATAACGCCCCTCTAAAGCAAAGTGCCGTGTGCGCTAATTGCATAGTCCCTAATCTATTGCTTTATGTTAGCTAGAACTAGGAAAGACCTAGCGCCTTTCTAAACTACATTAAGACGCACTTAGTATATCTTATCTTCTAATACTGCTTTGTCCTATAGTATCTATATATATAGGTTAGCAAAAAGGCTAGCGCCCTTTAGTAACTTAGACGCCTCCTCTACTTCTAATACTGTAACCTAAATTAATTTAGGGCGTATTACTAACTATAGTATTACTTTAGAGGGGTTTAAGTCTTATAGTTGCCTGCTTAAGGTATTAGGTTGTCCTATAAGACGGCTAGGTCTGTACTGTAGGATGTACTAATATTTTAAAAGTTCCTCTACCTAGCAATACTATTACTTGCTTAAGCTTTAAAGGCTAGTAAAGTACTCTAGGTTTTTATAGTCTATAAATATTATAAATAGTTTATAAACACTCTATAACTCTACTAACTAGCTTTTAAGATACTTAATAATAGCTAGTAATTCCTTATTATATATAGTATAGTTTTATCTCTCTAGTGTTAGTATTATAGAGTAGTAAGTAACTAGGCGCTAGATGCCCCTAACTTTTTATAATAAGCAACCCCTAAGAGCGTATCCTAAATAATCTACTTCTAATAATATTTCTTTAGCTAGGTCCTATTATATTAGTACTAGTCTAGATATAAATACCTTTTTTAGTGTATTAAATATACTCTATTCTTCCTCTCCCTATTAGAATAGGGTGCCCTTCCTAGTTAGTTAGTTTAAGGGCGCTACTACTTTAGAAAACTTTGTAATAAAATTGCAGTAGAAGTTAGTAAAACCTAGAAAACTCCTTACCTCTCTTATATTCCTAGGGGATTCCTATTCCTATACTACCCTAAGCTTTTTAGGGTTAGGTCTAAGTAATTTACCTACCTTAATAATATAGCCTAGGTAGCGTACCTCCTTAATACTAAACGCACACTTCTCTAAGTCTAGGTATAGTCCTACTTCTTTTAATAGTATAAGTACACGCTTTACTTTTTCTATATAGTTAAACTAGTCTCCTTCTAAATAAATTAGGATATTATTAAGGTAGGCTATTATATATAATCTAAGTAACTCTATAAGCGTAGTATTAATATATTATTAGAAAGTAGATAGCGCACTACTAAGACTAAATAGATATACTAACTATTTATATAACCTAAACTAGGTATAAAAAGCTATTAAGGACTTATAACCTTCTACTATTCTAACTTTATAAAAGGTGGCGTAAATATCTACTTTTGTAAACTAATTTACGCTAGATAATATATATAAAGTTTCCTTAATAAGTAGTAGTAGGTATTAGTCTAATATTATTATACTATTAAGTATCTAGTAATCTATATAAAGGCGCTAACTACCTAATAGCTTCTTTACTAGTAACACTAGAGCTCTAGCTATAGAAGAGCTTGCTTAGATCTAGCCCTTATCTATTAATCTAGTAAGTTATGTTCTTAGTTCTAGTAATTAATTATAAGATATAGGGTATAGGAGACCCTATAGGGGGTTAGGCTAGGTTCTATCTAGGAGAGTTATTAACTAAATATAGTAATCTATACTACCTTAATAAGGTAGTAAACTGCTTGCTAACTCTTTATTAAACAGGTCCTTAAATTCTTATAGTTCTAGTAGCAGCTTTATCTTTCTAGTTTTATGCTTAGGTTTATAGGAACCTATGCTATTAGCAATATAGATAGTGTGTATA